ACTTATTCGGGTCTTCCTCAATGATACGCTCTACAACAGCAATAGCTTCTTCTGTACGCACCGTGCGGCGTCTCTGGGGATGCGAGTTATCAATAAAAGTAAACGTGGTGCGAAAACGTTCTATGGTTAATCGAATTAACTGCTCTGATGGACGATTTTATCGACGATAAAATGGACGCAGTCCGCGATACGTATTCCGCACAGAACCATTATTTTCGAAATAAAATTGCACTATTTGTAAGCGTTGTTCAGGCGTGAGTCTGTTCATGATGAATTGCCAAACCAAACTGAGAATAAATTACTTGACAGCTGTTAAATCGGTCGCCATCTTGAATAGTAATGCCAACTTAAATTTCTATACATCGAAAAGAAACGAATTAGGATTGTTAGAATCTTATATTACAAAAATGGCAGCAATTTGATTCTTTGCTAAATATTTGCAATTAAAAATTAGTAAAGAAGTAAACAATTAAAGATAAGTTTGAATCGTGGTAGTGCCAATTTTACAATGAAATTAGCATTATCGCCGGTATTTCTTTCTACTTTTGCGACAAAAAAAAAACAGTAATAGTAATAACGTTTATTCAAAACAGACAATTCTTATCAAATAGCACAAGATTCAAATCCAAGCAAGCATAACAACGAATACGAGAAAGAAAATTCTATTAAATAAAAGTTCTTAAATCACAAAAGCTTTAAATGTTTGTGCATGATGCCCATGTTCATGAAATTATATATTCACAAGTCACGAGCAGAGTTTTGGTTAGCCTTTTAGATAAATAAATTTTGAGAGGATTCCATTAAATTTTTACCTTAATGCTAACTTCCTGTGCGTAATAAAAATTAGTCGGGCATTTTTGACTGTTTCCGAATTTGAACTCATTTTTATTCTTGTAAAAGAACTCTCGCTACTATTTAAAGTAAATAGACCCATTTCAACGCAAGGAATTACTAATTGATAGCGACTGAACGGAAACGCGAGCTTTTTTTGCCACGATAATTAAAAACGATATTAATAAACCCGTTAACCTATAAACTCCGTAAACGGTCATTACTCTTATTAAATTATTGTGTATTTATTACTATTGTTCCGTAGAGGTATGCACGGCCCCGCCGAATGATTTATGGAAACGCAAAACGCAGTAAATACGTATAGTAATAATTAAGTACTCATTCTAAAAAAGCGCGAGCTTTTGAGCGATTAATCATTGGCGTTACAGGGTGGCCCTCTAGATGCGGTCGGAGATAAATTCGAATTCGATTTTTGAATACGGAATAGTGCGGAATCAGCCTAGAGGTGGCCTCATTTATGGGCCGGTTTACCGCTGACGGTTTTTCCGCCTATAAAAATAACCGTTTTTATTATAAACATTTCGTGACGCGGATAATTTGTCGTTTAATTAGTAATTTTTTTTATTAGCTAAGCAAACTATTATGCCAAATTTCGGTTGAGGAGTATTGATTACTTAACAGAACAATGAAGGTTTTTATTTTGACATTAACAGCATATTTCGCAACAAAATTGATAAACACCATTTTAGTCACAGAGCAAGTGCTTAATATATTAGTGACTGAAGAAGTTTATCAATGCACGACGATTAGTTTTTGCAAGATAGTAGGTTAGGATATATTCGCTGAATAAGGTGGGTCAAAATATCAATGACTAAAATTTCCTGAGACCATCAGAGCGCTCCCAAGCCCGTGTCTAAAGTACTGGTAATGTCCGAAGCGGTTTGTAGCAGTGACTAATGAAGTTGACGTGTTAAAGTGATAGATGAGCTGAACCTAACAAAAATCTATGCACATGACAACCATTTTGCCGTTGTAAAGGACTTTTATCTTGGCACCCGCCAAATATGGGTACCTAAACATGTTTTCATTAAAAATATGATATTAGAGCAATTTAGAAACATACTTTAGCTTATAAAATCTATATTTTTTGTTTATTTGACTTAGAGTGACCAAAAAGATTCCTGTGTTTTGGAAAACATTGATTATTTACACCTGATAACCGGAATAATAATAATGAATAATAATAAAACAATACCGTCTCTTTATTCATTTATCTATATATTTCTATGTTTCGCTAACTTCAGCAAAAACGCACAAAAATATAGTATGTACGATTCCAACCAGCATTTAAATTAATATATGGCGAGTCATTATAATAATTCAAGAGCTAGCTCTGTGGCGGGAAAAATTCCATTTTTTCATCGAACAGCAGAACTGGCGCCGCATTTTCACCATTTAGTAGTTAGTGCTTTATAGTAGTTAGCTAAATTGCCTTAGTAAATCAGTAACATTAAAAAAAAACAATTTAAAATATCAACAGTGGATGAAATTGAGTTATTTATAAATTTTGCTACCCAGTTAGTACTTAATCAAATTGGACTGAAAGAATGTTTATCTCTTTTTACAAAAATAACTGGAACATTTTATTTGCATTTGCTAACATATAGCTGACAAATAATGGTCATAGAGAAAACGTATTTTTTTAAATTTCTTCAACCACTTATATATTAAACCATTAAAATTTTTGATTGCAATCGTTGCTTAGCTGTATTTTAACGTTGTTTGCAAGAATGAAGAAAAAAGATAGAGAAATGATGAAAAGAATAAAAGACTATAGATTAAATTAGATTAGACGAAGATATATCACATGAGTTGTTGATGATGGACTAGAAGAAGACACTTGGGGTGTGGCGAAAAATATAATATTATTATGTTAAGACAGCGAAAATAGTTTAAAATATTTGTGGGCTATGTGGCAAAAAAATCGATTTGTTTAAGTATGCGGAAACGTGGGTCCAGGTGGTGAGTTTTTTCTCTTATTTCAGTAGTGATGACTATCCCTTGTTTTATTTTCGGTAGAATTTCCTGTTTGTCTTATTCCTATGCCAAATTTGATAAATGAAGTGAACAAATAATTAATAACTACGACGAACTCCGTAATATATCAGATCGAACCCACAAGGAGCCTTGAAATGAATATAATGCATGATAATTTTAATACCCGTGTGACATTGTAGAATTTACAGAGAGCGATTACTATTCATACCGGTACAACAATATTTCAATAAGAATGAAATCACGGATTTGGTATTAAGGTAAATGATATAATTGTGAAAGTTACCGTATATGCATTGTTGCATTAAATATGACAGCTCAAGTTGAGCTAGACTCGGGCAAATGTTACCTATGGGTTCAGCAATCTTATTAGTTCCTAATTATATGGCGTTCACACCCTGTAGGTATACTCATTTAGTCAGACATAGAGTCTCTTAGCGTTTGTTTTGTAATGTGACAGTAAATATTATTGAGAGGCCATAAATTAAGATTTAACTGCTGCGCTGAACTTTTTTCCATATTATTAACTCCTTTTGTGTCTGGCAAATACCACTATAAAATGCACATACCTGAGACGCATTTGCATGCCTACCTTAATTCTTAGTCTCATGACTGGAGAAACTAAACTGAAATTGGAAGTTACGAATGAACAATAACGGACAAAATAGGCAAACCAACAAGATAATGATAATAATTAATATATTAATTACAAATACTAATATTGTCTTTATTTCTTCAAGCAATGACAATATTTTCAGATATGGTTTGTTCATAGATATAAGAAAATGACCAATTGCTTTTGAATGGGATTATCCAATTCAACATACAATGCAACAAGATTATTACCTAAAGTTTCGGAATTTAAATTCAGGTAAAATTATGGTCCGTAATAGAAAATAATTTTATACCTACCTGTGTTTAATATTCTTTGGTTTGGTATACTACTTACAGCTTACTTACAGCGTGTGTTGACTCGTGTGCGAATATCTCAGAAGATGCTCCCGCCCAAACGTAGAAAACACTATTCTATTGAGACTAAGGAAGTTATGAAAGTGTATTCAACACATGGGTTTTAGATTTAAAACCAATGACAAAAGGCAAGTTTTAATAGAATCTTTTAGAATTCGGAAATGGCGACTGGAATATCTAGAAAAAATTAGGATTTACTGAGAACAACAAAGGCCAATTATTTACTTGGATGAAACCTGGTTCGACATTTATGAAACCCCGGAAAAGGGTTGGGTTGACTCAAAACAAACGCGCCATCAAAAAGAGGTAAAAGAATAACTATTTTGCATGGTGGCTCTAAAGATGGTTGGATTCCAAATGGGCTTTCTCTGTCTTCGAGAAATATTAAAGATTCTTCTCTGGATTACCATGAAGACACCACCGCTGATTTATTTGAAAGTTGATTTAAAAACAAACGTTCCAAACATCCCTCCTAATAGCGCCATTGAAATGGACAATGCAAGTTATGACAGTAGACAGTTGACTAAAACCCCTTCCTCATGTGACACAAAAGCAACAATCCAAAACTACATGTATAATAACGACATTTATTTTCACGAAGATTATACCAAATACCAATTAAGTGAGGTTCTACAAAGCTTGAACCTACAAAATGAATACGTCTGTGATAATTATGCAAAAAATCTAGGGCATAGAGTTTTAAGGCTTCTTTCTACCTTACCACTCTATAAATTTAATCCGATTGAGCATGTTTGGCACCAACTGAAAAAATGTTTTTCCCCGTGTTAACTTCAATGTCCTCAAACTTATAGAAACCGAAGTTTTTAACATCCCTACACAAAGTTGGGCAAATATATAGAAAAAGCAGAACAATCGTATATCCATATAGCGATACTGATATATTATGTGAATAATTTGAAGTAATTTAAGTAGGTAATAAAAATATTTTGTAATTTTATTTTAGATTTAAACTTAAATACCTACATAAATAAATAAATATTGTTTAGTATCTTTCCTAACAAAACCCCAAATTATTAAATTCTAAGCAAGTTACAGCTTGCCCGGGTCTTTCCTTAATTCGTATCAGTTAGTCAATTTCTTATATCTATGAACAGACGTTACATAATAATTTAGACACAACTTTTATTTAAAAATAAGTTTAACAAGGTTTTCGTTCGTTTCAGGTTACTCCCACGAACCAGAAAGCTCTAACTTACGACGAACAATCTTGGAAACCAGCACCCGAAGAAACGCCGCCTGAAAAAGAGAAAGATGGATCGAACCACTCGAGTTGCTCGCAGATTTCGAAAAAGAAAAAAGTAAAGAATTACTTTAAAAAATGTAAAAATGCCTTATCTAACAAACCGACAAGCATCGACTTACCATCGAGTACCGAAACAAGTTCAGAAAACGCTTGGTATGTAGATCCAAAGCTAGACAAACCCCTTCAGACCAGCGAAGTGAATGTAATCGAAGATATTTTCGAGGACGCTCTGGTCGTACCGCTCGACGGTAAAGTTACCTTAGAGATCGCAAACATAATTGAAGTGAAAAGTGCTGGAGTGTTTACAGAAGACGCCGCACCAAAAAATGACATAGCTGCGGGTGAAGCTGATAAAAGTGATGGACGCGGAGAAGAAGTCGGATCAGAAAGACCATCCTCTCCTTCCTTGAATGATGTTCAAGAACAGGTTGAGGATAAAAAGAGCAAAGCTTTTTTAGATGATGGTTCAAGTATTGACGCGGGCATTGGCAAACCGGATGCTGAGATATTGGTAAGTGTTTCTATATCAGATGACCGAAAGAGTCTCCTAGTGTAAGTTCTGGACAACTATTTTAGAAACATTTTGGCAAGTGCAGAACTGGCAGGTCAGTCTTGTTTTTAAAAACCTTGTTTTTATAAGATACTTACGTAACGTCTAGTATTTATGGGTTCAACGATGCACTTATTATTGTTTGATCATGAATCTTCTTCACTTCACTCATCAGCAACTTTTTGTTATGATCTTTTTGCCAGTTTTTCGAATTTCCATTAAAATTTGTATATATTGTTTTGTCAGTCAGGCTTGTTATCTTTTTTATGTGAGACATTGTTTCTTTTTAAACCAATTTCGATACTTGTGGCATAACAGTACAAAGTGCTTAAAATATCGTTGCGATAATCTGTTGGTGTTATTAAAATTGCCTTGCAGGAATGAATCAGTTATTTACAACTATCTATCTTAAATTATGTAGCAAACTAGAAAACTCCGAAGTTAAGTTTTGGATATTAATGGTCCGCAAGAAAATTTTATCTGGGTACTAATTGCTACAAGATGTGACTTTTCTAAATATATTGCTTACAACGAGGATCGTAAAAGGTCGTAAATGTCCTTTACAATTTTCTCTTTCCGTCAGTTCTTCTACTATAATGAAAGGTAACATGGTTGTATTTTTTCAGTATAACCTATAAATTTTCACTCAGCATTATTTGACTCTTCCACAAGGTTTTGTCGGATTTGGAGACATATGGAGTATTCTAAATTGTAATCGTACGCAAGAAATTAAGATTATATGCAAATACTTGATGTTTTTTCGCCGTTTTGTACTGTTGCTAATTATCACTGATCCCAACATTAGTGGTCAACAGTCATCAGTTGGACAATCATTTAACTGTAATTCCAAAATGGAAAAAAAGAAACTAAATAGTTGCATGAAATCAGATAGTAATGATTGATGGAGTGGATCACTATTTCTGGCCAAACGATGAAATGTACTGCCGAAAAATATGGACCATTTATCTGAAAAATTTTTCAGGTAACAGTTAGTAGCCACAGTTAATGACCCAATAAAGCTGTCCTCGTTCTTCACAATTTAAGTTGAATCGTGTCAGAACGATGTAATAGTAACTCTAGGACTGGTAAGATTGCGTTGCATCTGAAAGGAACATGTTTTTTAAATCTTCGCTGCATAGATTCAATATCGCAATATTGGATTAAAAAACACTTAATCAGCATTGTAATGATTCCATATTTGCAAATCTGATTACGGTCACCACTTCTTAAAATTTCGTCACTTTTACCGTAATCGCTTTGAAAGTGTCGAATCAGTTGAAACAGCATTTGGTGCTTTTGCGTTCAGATTCATAGTTTTAAAGTTTGAAGAAATTTATTGAAATGAGGTGGCTTTTACTTCAAAATCCATTAATCAAAATAAATAAGAAGTGAAAGTTATTTTTTTCACGAAATTATATATTTTTACATGACAATTGTTTCGACAACACCGTGTTTTTATCAAATGTGTTAAAGACACGGTGTTGTCGAAACAATTGTTATGTAAAAACATATAATTTCTTGAAAATCTGAACTTTTGGTTCTTATTTATTTTGAAGAAATTTAAAATGAAAGCTGTAAATGAGTATGGAAACGTTTATTAGTTTGGCATCTAGGACGGCCTCGCATAGAATCGACAAATTTTTGTAGTTTCTGCAGAAATTTGCATCAACCCCGATTTACCAAGAATGAGTCCCACTTGAGTGCATTCTAATACGTTGATCCAAGACATGTTTTATTTTCTAAACCATTCTTTCACTAACTTAGATTCGTGTTTCAAAACATTGTCCTATCGGCTATATATAAGACAGTTTTACGAATAAGTTAATTTAAGTAAATATATATGCAAAAATATAATATCTGTATCATTAATGCTTGTAGTAAGATAGAGCCTTTTAAATTTCCATACTTTAAGAGACGCAACTGATGTACATTTATATCGCATTTAAAACACGTGTGGAAACTTTTTATAATTTGCTTTCTCAATTACTCATTCTTGATTCTACAGCGTAAACTGCAACGGTAATATTGTATATACCTCTTTATATTGGATTCGGTCAATTTTATCTCGTTCTAGAATGATTAGTTCTGGCTCAGATCGAGAAATATACCCTACGAGAGTGTGTCTCTTAATGTGTGGAAACTAAAAGTCTTACTACCATACTTTTTTCCACCACTGTACAGGTACATACATTTTATTTAATTAATTTATCAGTACCATTTTTGTGTATGTCCAAAAATCATGCTAAGCAGCTACGGGAAAATTGATATAATCTACTGCTACGCCCGTCGCAGTTGTTTTTTATTCTAACGAATCCTGTAATAGTCAAGACCTGTGAAATCTTGTCAAGTGACGATTATCTTCATGCGCGTCGATTTTCGCGCTCTTGGGTATTGGCTCTGCCTCGCAAAACATGCTGCTGACGTCTTTAGGGCGCTGATTCGAAGCCATCAGCATACTAGAAAAAGACAACATTCAAAATTAACAAATTTCATATTCAGTAATTTGTGTGTTACTATTTCCGGCAGACTAAACAATGCATCTTATATTTCTTCTCCTCAAATAATAAAATTTTACTCAAAAATGTATATCCCATGGTCTAAAATCGTCGCGAATTTCCTAACAAAATTGAATAAAAACATAAATCACCTGCCGGAAATTTCGTCGTCGAGATGACCCGCGGCGAACGAAGAAACAGCGGGCACAAAGACACTAGAAAATGGCACAATTGATACACTAAATAATAATGATCATCGTGACTGAACCTACGCGATATATCACTTTTACTAACGATACGAGGAAATAAAACTCCATACTTGGATATACGTCGCTATAGAAGTTAATGATACATTACTCGTTATGCGTAAGATTACGAAGTAACGTTCACGAAAAAATAGAAGCGTATCAGATTGAGAACTGGGTTTCGTTTTGGAAATGTAGCAACGCTAGATTTAATCAAACACTTGTTAAACTATCCTATTTGTGTCCGTTTCGAAAAAAGCTGAAACAGATACGGCGCGGCGTTCACGTTTTATCTCGTTAGTGATGAAATTCAAAGTTGGATTTAATTAAATCTATGCGAAGTTCTCGATAATTTCCGTATGAGGCATTCCAAGCTGCGTTTCTTTTAAACAAAAACGGATAACTGTCATTTTTACTTCTTGGAATTATAGAACAAACCCATCAGCTCAGTTGTATGGTGTCGGGGGTAGAATGGCAAAAAAATAAAACCCCCAGCGATAATTGACAGAAAAATATGTATATAACAACATAATCAATATGGGTTATAAATAAAACATATTTTATAAGGAAAGCTCAAAACTGAATTTTTGTGGATTCTGGCGGTTGATGGTGTTTGGAAGTAACAATTGCAATTGAGTTCGGAAACTTGGAGGAAATATTCAACAAAAATTCGAAATCGCAATATTTCAAGCTTTTTACAAAACTTCTGGATTTCTCCTGCGTCGGTTTTTGCTTATTCGAAATTGCTGACGTTTCGCCAATCATCCTGTTGGCTTCTTCAGAGCTTGACAGTTTCCGTCAATTTTGACTAAGCAAAAACCGACGCAGGAGGAATCCAAAAGTTTTGTAAAAAGCATTACAGTAGCCTGTGGAAGTTCCTTTGAAAAATTAACAAGCCTGTCATTTTATCTAGTACATTTTTTTTATTTTCCGTGTATTTTATTGATTTAAACCGATATCGCAAAATAGAACAGATTGATTTAAGCAGAATCACAAATCCCCAAAAATTGCTACTCTTGTTTTAAGTGTGTGAGTTTTTCATTCTCCGCCCGAATACCGCACTTCTTATTTACAGAAAAGTGATACTGGATATCGCGATATGCATTTCTGCAGGTGACGTTCACTAAATTTTTGAAAACAGTATGGTACAAATTAAAAAAGTGAAAAAATGACATAAGTCAATGAAATAACATGTTTAATTTAAGTAACATAAATATATTTAACATTTTCGATAATATAAAATTATTAATAATAATCGGGAATTAAACAGTATACAACGCTAATTACAATGCATTTTTAAAATGCCCGCCGTTCATTTCTAAACATTTTCTTGTACATTTTAAAAAATAATATAGAACACGCCTATTTCTAATCATTTCGCAACTATTTTTTATTTTTTATCGCAGATCATTGATGTCTGTTATAGGCGTTTCATAGACCAAAGATTTTAAGGCCCCCAAAAAAGTTCATCGGGTTAAGGTCTGGTGAGCGAGGCGGCTAAGCTAGAGGTCCGCTCCGACCTATCCATCGATATTCAAATGCCTGATTCAAATACCTTCGTACAGCCAATGTAAAATGGGGTGGAGCGACATCTTGCATTAACCACATGTTTTATCTGCACTGCCAGGGTACCTCTTCCAGCAAAGGTGGTACTTTCTCTTTCAGAAATTGCAAACATATTTCCCCATTAAGCGATCCGTTAACGAAATGAGGTCCTATAAGATAATCTCCAATAATCCATGCCCATACATTTAAAGAAAACCAGCGCTGATGTTTTCATTCAATTTTTTGCAATGTTCAACTGATCCATATTTCGAAAATTTGCAATGCCATCACAAAATGACGTTTATGAATTACGGGTAACTTTGAAATTTTCCTAAGATTTAATTGCATAAAATTACTCTCAATTACTCATCACGCTCATACAGTACTTGAAGCCTTTGAACATGAAAGAGGCGAAGATCATTTTAATGCAAAACTTCCCAAACTGTAGAGCAAACACTCCTTTTCTGAGCAGCAAGTTTTCTCGTACTCGTTGACAGGTCAGCCTCCACATTTTGAAGTATTCCTTCTTATCTTGCAGCGGTTCTTTTATACCTTGATGTTCCTTTATTCATATTATCAGGATTCAATGATTCTCTTTCACCAAGGCTTCTGTGTATGTTGATGAATGTCTTAGCAGATGGAACGTTTCTGCGTAGCAAAAATGTGTATCGCGATA